AATAAATTTGCATATAAGAGGCATTGATGCTATTAAATTTTGGAGTTTAAAGTTCAAATTTTAGAAGTAGAAGGGGAGGAGACAGAGGTGATCACGTGTCATATCTCAAAAGGGGTCGGATTTAACAAAGATTTTACTGGTTATTAGCATTTACTTCTTTTTATAAAACTCATNGCAATCAAATAATGTAAGCAGTATTACTAATTGTGAGCAGGTTTGTTTAGCTTGTCTGTTTGTTCTTTCAAAATTAAGCAATTATTGCTACTGACTCGTCAAGTTTTTTTTTTCAAATTTCGACGTTTTGGGATCCCCTGAACCCAAAAATAATAGGGGGAAATAGGGAAAAATTTCATGGATATGTGTGTGCGTTTCGTTTAATATCTTAGGATAGTGTAATAAGGGTGTAATAAATTTGCATATAAGAGGCATTGATGCTATTAAATTTTGGTGTTTAAAGTTCAAATTTTAGAAGTAAAAGGGGAGGAGACAGAGGTTATCACGTGTCATATCTCAAAAGGGGTCGGATTTAACAAAGATTTTACTGGTTATTAGCATTTACTTCTTTTTATAAAACTCATCTCTGATCCAAAATCAAGCTTTTTGTATTTTATAATAATTAATAATACTAAAATTTTTTTTAAAAATAAAATCACATAACAGATGGCGCTATACGCAAATTTAACTTTTTTTTTTTGCCGGGAGAGTTGCGTAACTCGTTGCTGGATTTATTTTTACTATTTACGCACGAATTTTTATGTAAGAAAGCAAGAATATTCCTATTGTTTACTTGAAATAAAATAATAAGGACGAACTTTAATCATGAAATTTCACACTACAAACAACGAAACGTTAAAAAAAAAACAAAAGAAATTTTTAAAAGCTGCTTCCATTAGTGCATTTCAAGATTTGTTAGGATTCGTTTGACAGGAATAAGGTTAGGTAATGTCTTCTCTTCTCCTATTTCAATTAATTTATTGCACCGATCTCCCTCCTTTAAATTTAATAAAATTTATTTGAATGTAAAACACGAGATGTTTTGAAAGATTCTTTCTTATTCAAAATTTCAAATTTTATTCTTATTTTTATTATTTAAGAGTATCATTTCACTTTCTAAATTTATAACCGAATATTCATACTATTATATTACGTAATTTAATAAGAGTTGTAAGAGTTGGCAACAGTTCTATTAGCCGTCTGTCGCGCTGACGTCACGATTGATTAAAAATTAGTGATTTGTAACACGTAAAAACTATTTAAATTAAAATATAATTTGTTTAAGAAAGTAATATCATTTTTTGTTTATTTTCTAACAAAAAAACACTCAAAAGTTTAGAATTTTATATTAACGAACTGCAGATCTAGCTGTTAAATTTTAAAAATCTGAACCAACCAATCAATCGGCGCTTAAACGGATTTCAAATTCGAACTGTCCAATTGTATCGAAGTATTTCTTATGAACTTAAATTACGTTTTGGTATTGTAAGCATGGACGATTATTAAAAAATTAATATGTATTGAGTAAACAAGACATCACAGAATCCAATAAAATACTCTTATTATTTTATTTTAGTTTTTTTTAATGGTTTGTGACGTCGTATTAAAGGATGTCCCATGTGAATGGGTTGCAAAATATTGCCATTCAGAATATAATCTGACTTATATTGTGTCAATATTGATACGTGTTTTAATCAAGCTGCAATTGTTTACTTATCTGTATTTCTTAAAATGTTCTTTTTTATCTTTGAATACAAAAGTTCACCAGCTCGGGATGTTTACATTTAACAGGCCATAAATATCATAAATAAAATACGACCATCTTCTACTTATTTTTCCTCCCTCCCTTCTAAATTACGCTTCTTACGAACTTAAAAAAAAATTAATTAAATAGGGGTGTAATAATTTATTACCCTAAGCTTTAATTACTTGTCATTAGATGGCGCTACATGTACTTGCCTACTTACAGCAGATACATTATAGCGCCATTTTTTTTTTTCTAGAATTTAATAGCGGGTCAATACCTAGAATGATATATAACACAGCAAATCCACTATTTACGATAGAGGTAAGAAACAATAGATATACTAAAATGATTTGTTTTCCTCATGAAATATGAAGGATATCTGGAATGTGTATCATGTCAGGTATTACGTTCTGCAGATATCCTTCCCTCTCGTGTTTAGTAGGGGGGGACATTAATGAGCTTGTATGATAGAAATGCGGACAATCCTTTCTGGTCCGGATCAAAGCAGTATTAGGTTCGTATTTGCGTTGGCATGTCGAATGACGATGACCACATGTTGTGACGTAACAGATAAATCATTGTAGTTTTTTTTGTGTGTGTGTTTGTATCCCAGAAATTTTAACTAGAAAATTTATTAGATTTATTCTTGAAATTTTTTTACATCGATCATGTTTTAAAATATAGGAAACGGATAAAGGGTTCATTAATTAATTACGGTTCTTTCATTGTTTAACGAGTGGGCGAAGTATTGTTTAATAAGTTTTTGTCGGTGCGGGTGTTGAAAGTGCATTAATTTTTTATTTTTTATTTTTGTAATGACGTGTAAACAAATCTGTGACCTTTATTGTTTGTTTATTGTTGCGTATTAGCGGGGTGATTGATAATGTGGCTTCTTACTCGCGTTTTAATTGCGAAAAATACTCCGTATCGATCGTTATATCGAATTTGGGGATTTTTCGAATATTGTTTTGCAAGTTTTATGAAGTGTTTTTCTTTAAAAATGCGGTTTTTGTATTGTGTTCGGACCCTAAAAAATATAACTCGTTATAACGAAATTATGTGAATTTTTATTAATTAATCTGTAAAAAAAA